TTGTTACTCTCCTGTAACGCCTCTAATCTTCTGGCGCTCATATGACCTTGTGCAGTTGCGAGCGCCGTAAAACCTCTACTTAACTAAAATGATGATGATGATGATGATGATGATGATGATGATGATGATGATGATGATGGTGATGACTTACTGTATCATTTCAGAGTGAATCCTGGTCTCCAGTTTGGCATAGGAATCAACTTCTTGTAGGACAACGCCTTGCCTATCCACTGCCTATGTACAGTAATGGGAGGATGTGAAATGATTATATTATACTGTTAATTAAGGATTATACGAGATAGACCTGCTTGAAACTGTTTTGTTATTCTTCTGTTTTCCATTGGCCTGATTGTTTCTGGATGTGATTGGTCTTCAGCGAGAGATGTCGGTGTGTGTGTGTGTGTATCTGTGTGTGTGTGTGTGTGTGTGTATCTGTGTTTTTGAGAGATAGTAACACAAAAGTTGGTTTGCTCCCAGGAATTTGTTGCGTATGTTGTCCTGGCAACCCACATCTCTGATTCTGATCCTGCCAGTTGTGATTTTATTTTTATGATTTTAGTTTAAATGGTTGCAAGAAGGAAGAGAATTTTGATGGCCTGGGCACAAGCAATGACTTTGAAAAGATCAGCTGTGTAGGAGAAAATCTTTTTTTTTTTTAAAGCCACTATTTAATTATTAAAGATTTGTAGTGTGATCACATAAATATATTTAAATAAAAATTATATATTTTTTTGCTTCTAAGGCCAGCAGTTTTAGGAGTTATGGAGATTATTTAGTTGATTTGCATGTCTGCTTTCAGTAAGAATGGAGTCTCAGATATGGACAGTTTGTGCAAGAGGCCATCTTATGGGCAAGATAGTTATGCCGACTTGGCTGTGTGATTTCTCTCTTTCATAATCCGCACACTTATTATAAGTAGATACGATGTATTGTATGAGTGCTGAAGTGAATGTACGATTGAAACGACATGGGCTGTGCGTGTTTGAGGTGAAGGTTTCTGTTACTTTAAAGCAGCATTTAGGTATACTTATAAACAGTGTGGGGGATAGAGAATGTATTGTTTGTTTCCAACTTTGATGAATAATTGAAGAACTGTCTGTAGCATTTCTCCACTGACTGAACCAGGTATGAAACACCCAAATAAAAATCTTTTGATGAAACCGACACTTGTGTATGTATTTGTGACTGATAAATAAATAAGTACAATGACTCACAAGTTGGGCTCTATCTTGCCCTTACTGAAGCCCTAACTCCAATTTCTGACTTTGGGAGTTTTTGTCACAGTAATTTAGGCCTTTGAAAAGTCTTCCCCTAAAGTCTGATTAAATTTTCAGTTTGGTAGGAATTTTGAATGTTGCCCGGATGGTGGCCGAAGCCTACTCTTATCAATTTTAGGACCACCGAGGGATCTCTACTCTTACTTACATGCGCCACTTGCACAAAACATAAGTATTTAAATGACTGTGTTCCATTTACATAGAATTTCAATGTTATTTTTGTACATACTTATGTTTTGTGCAAGTTGCACAAGTAGAGTAGAGATCCCTCGGTGGTCCTAAAATTGATAAGAGTAGGCTTCGGCCACCACCTGGGCAAAATTCAAAATTCCTACCAAACTGAAAATGTTTTTAATGTGTCCCACGCGCTCATATGACCTTATGCATTTGCAAGCGCCATAAAACACTTACTGAAAAAATAAATACTCCTGTTTTCTTGACTGGAATTCAGCGCTCTTAAAGTGTTTTAGTTTTACCTCAAAACTGGAAAAATGGAGTTGGTGCACGAATTCAGCGCTTTTAAAGTGTTTTAGTTTTACCTCAAAACTGGAAAAATGGAGTTGGTGCACGAATTCAGCGCTTTTAAAGTGTTTTAGTTTTACCTCAAAACTGGAAAAATGGAGTTGGTGCACGAATTCAGCGCTTTTAAAGTGTTTTAGTTTTACCTCAAAACTGGAAAAATGGAGTTGGTGCACGAATTCAGCGCTTTTAAAGTGTTTTAGTTTTACCTCAAAACTGGAAAAATGGAGTTGGTGCACGAATTCAGCGCTTTTAAAGTGTTTTAGTTTTACCTCAAAACTGGAAAAATGGAGTTGGTGCACGATAGCTCTCAACTTGCGATGTGTAAAATTAAAATGACACACACACAAACAATGCATTTTGTAAATATGAATAAGTTTAATTTTTTTTTCAAACAAATCAACATGGTTATCAAGTATACAATTCATTTTGTTTTCATTTTGTTTTCACTGTGTTTTCAGCCTGTGATACCCTTACATTTGTCTTTCTAGAACATCAAACTTCTGTAGTCTTTACTCTATACATTCAGCCCTTCATTTTGCTCACCCTCCATTTTGCAGGAAAGCTTCGTTTTTTTTTTCTCTGGTGACTACTTTTGGTGTCTTTCAAAGTTTTAAGGTTTTTTTGTTTTTTTTTCACTCCGTGCAATCTCACATTAAAAAATAAGGAGTGAAAGTTGAATGCCAATGAAAAATGTGACTTTACTGAGGTAAAATTTTCTAGTTCCTACAAGCAGCTCTGAAATTTTGCTCGCTTTATTTCTTTTTAGAAATAGACAAATTATACGCAGCTTCCATGCTCCACAGCTGAATGTTTAGGAACGGTTTCCTAAAGCTTTTTGTTGACAATGGCGCTCATATGGCCTTATGCAGTTGCGAGCGCCATAAAATCTCTACTAAAACTTTTTGTCGACATGCGTAATGATTGCAAGTATAAACAACATGAAAAGAAAAAATATGAATGTAAGCAGTCTCCTTCTGCCCTGTATGTTGCCATCATGGTGAATCTAGCACCTCATTCTCTTTGTTAATGAACTATAAATCAGATGAAACTATCAGTGGGAAGTGATGCTTTTATATTTCTGCACTGCAGTGCTGCTTTCTTCTAGGGATATTTAATAAATCAAAAAGAGCATTTTCACCAATAATTTATTGGTTTATAAATAAACAATAATTGATGTCCTGTGAACTTCTCCTGGCCTTACCAATATTTACTCTCAGCTCAAATGTTCACTCACCCGATTTAGCTGAATGAAAAGGATGTTGTTCGAAACTAGTTTTGTTATAATCAATCTTTCCTTCAAATGTTCATGTGAATATAATATAAAGTGCAGGTCTTGACCAACAGATTGCCAACAGTACCCTTTTTGTATGAGCTGAAAGCAAACTATTCTCTTTCTAAATCGAAGGTAACAGTTGCAAATCTTGTCAACCTGCGTAGATCCACAAGTGGAGGCGGTGGAGCTTTTGAATGCCGGAAAAAAAGTGGCAAACTTTTCTCAGCCAGAATTGTGTCTCATCAAGCCACGAGTCATCTTAACCTTTAATTCTCTGAATTCTTTTATTTCACTTGAGAAAATATTCTCCTTTTTGAATGTATTGGTCATTGTCAGACGGATCGACGAATGGACCCATTAATATTATTCTTACTTTACTTCTTTTGAGGGAAATTATTGGCGCGTGAGAGTGTCAAGCAGGCCACAGAAAAAGAACGTATTCATATCATTCATGTTTTGTACCAATGTTGCATTTCGTATATTTCGTAAACTTGCGCCATATCGAACCAGATGCAAGAGGGTTTCCAAACCATCTCTCTATATCTAACCAGATGCAAGAGGGTTTCCAATCCATCCTTTTTGGTCAATAAATATACATTTAATCTGATTTCTGGCTTCGATAATAATATTTGCAACTGTTACTGCCGAAATACTTCAACCATTTCAGATATGGAATGAAAAGAAAGTACATGTATTGGAATTGGATTACAGATATCTCCATATATATAAAATGTTAAATTCGATATAGGACACATTATATATAGGAAGATCAGAATAAAAACAATGTAATTGTGTAGATAGATAATTAAGTACATTATTACATTTCTGACTAGTTTGCCAGTAGTAAAACGAGCATCTCGAACCTTTATCAAATCATCATTGGAAGCACTCTTTCTCCAAACCCAAATTTAATAAAGAAACATGTAATGTGAGGAGGATTATACATTTGTGAAGCGTGCTCACAAAATGAGTTATATCTACTTTTTGAATTTTTGCCCAAATGAAATAGGATATAGATACATCATATTTATACGTGGCATTTGTACAATTTATAAGAAATGATAAAAGAAACACATTTAAAATTTGAAGAAAATGGCATTGATTGAAAATTTATAAATCCAATCCCAGTGTCAATTTTCATCCGATATATCTCCATTTATTGTGGACTGCGAGAAGTAACTCTTGTTGTCAGCACGCCTCGCACATACATATTATATATATATTTATACACACATAGCATGAACTTTTAATAGTATACAATGTATTATGGTATAATTTTGATTTTGATATATGAATATCAGAAAATGTCTGTTTCCTACATACGGGTGCACTCTTTAGGAATTAATTAAAGAAATAAATATAGGAGGGTATGAAGATATGCCATTCACTTTGCTGAACATTTTGCAAATGTAAGAATCTCAGGTTGTTTGGCTTCCTGCAAGAATCTCATGATATCCGAGTCCCAACGGACTACAAGGTACAAGATATCCGAGTCCCCCAACTGACTACAAGATATCCGAGTCCCAACGGACTACAAGACACAAGATATCCGAGTCCCAACTGACTACAAGATATCCGAGTCCCAACTGACTACAAGATATCTACAAGATATCTACAAGATATCCGAGTCCCAACTGACTACAAGAAATCCGAGTCCCAACTGACTACAAGATATCTACAAGATCGAGTCCCAACTGACTACAAGATATCTACAAGATATCTACAAGATATCCGAGTCCCAACTGACTACAAGATATCCGAGTCCCAACTGACTACAAGATATCTACAAGATATCTACAAGATATCCGAGTCCCAACTGACTACAAGATATCCGAGTCCCAACTGACTACAAGATATCTACAAGATCGAGTCCCAACTGACTACAAGATATCCGAGTCCCCCAACTGACTACGAGATATTCGAGTCCGTGACTACAAGGCTGTTACTGTTAGGTTATCTGGACCACTGCAAAAATCTCAGATTACCTGGTTGAACAGAACCCTCCCCCCGCCAAAACTTGCAGCAAAATTACAGTATTCATCATTCAAAGCAGTTGTTAAGTCAGAGACATCAACCGAAGCTATGATGGACTATTCACATAACTTACAGTTTAACTTACACCTAATTTCTTGTGTTTTCTATTTGGACTTTACACTTTGTCTAGCTGTTAATTAGACTATTTCATTAACCCTATCCGTACACCCTGGGGTCATTTTGTACCCTCGGGGTTGTATTCTTCACATTTTAGAATACTTCTAGTACGAAGATCTCTGAAATTTTCTGTATTTCTAAAAAAATATTTTTGACAGACTGTTATGCAAAGTGTATGGATAGGATTAACAAGTAAATTTCCTCTGGAAAGTGGTGGCACAGAGTTCCCCATGTCGTATTCGTATGGATACGATAGTAAAACACTACGTACGGACAGGGTTAAAAGCCATTTACAATACAGTAGGAAGTTGCAGGACTCTTTCATGAGGGGGACCAGCTGTTTGATGTACTGGTACTTTGCAACAATATTTGTGGTCAGCACAGTTGAGTGTCTTTCAGCCACACTTCTGATCTTATGGTAGGTAAGATCTAACACCTAGCCTTCTCGGATAAGGGTGAAAAATCTTGTGAGGTCCTGTGTGCAAATTGCTCACGTTGAAAATCCATTGGTGGTCCAAAATCGATTAGAGTAGGCTTTGGCTGCCACCTGGGCAAAATTCAAAATTGCCTGCCAACTGAAAATGTTTAATGTGTTTGGCGCAGTCATATGACCTTATGCAGTTGGGAACACCAAAAAACACTTTCCACCCCCCCCCCCCAATAAAAAAAAATTAAAAAATCACACAGTCGAGTGACAGGTAAGAAAATTTGCCTGACTGAGACTCTTTAACAATTGCTCAGCACAGCTGCCTATCTGCAGTCTAAATGAATTCACACCTTCTCCAAATGTATCCACATTATAATCATAATCCATATATTATATTTCAATAAGAAGGAGGAGAGATAAAATTCACACCTTCTCCAAATGTATCCACATTATAATCATAATCCATATATTATATTTCAATGTGGACTTAACAGCACAAAAATGAACTTGGTGAGTCAGTCTAAGTACGCATGTCCACGATTTACACTTTGATTAAAAAATTTACTTTGGATCCATCACCAGAAAATGTACAAGCACAGCCATATCAGAGCAGATATCATAAACAATTTGTGTACGGTATATTTCATTTTAACTGACATAAATTTGGCAATACAATGTAATTAAGTGAAGAGAATCAATGTGGTGCTTCATATACATATATATGTTGTTTTGTTCCTTGAAGGATACTTTTTCTCTTTGAGAATAAAAAAGATTAATTCGAACCTCAATTGGAAATAAAACAACGACAAATCTGATCAAATAACGATATAACTGAGAAAACCACCATCAACCCCCACCCCCCAACCACCACACACACCCCTCCCACTCCCACCCCAGGCCATACACACACCTAAATACATGTACATTTTTACTTTTTTAAAACTAATCAAGGCACCATTAACTTCTAAGCATGGAATATATGGAAGAATGTAATGTGTACAGACTGAATTTATACTACTTTCCTAGACTGTATACAGTCTTGGCCGCTCTTTGCTCTCTAAAAAACCCCCAACAACTTTGCTGCCAAGTATATAATCTACCCACCGCAGGCGCAGTGAATGAAGAGCAAAACAGCAGCTTTGTTATTTAATCGAGTGTGCGCTCAACATTTCTGAGGCAGCGTGGTGGAATCAGGCTCTCGTCAAAATAATCTGCAGGTTTGTGAATTTTCATCAATTTTTTTTTTGGCTCAACACCTTACATGCCCATTAAAGAACTCATTTCTGTGTGGATTTTTCATAAAAACGTTGATTAAAGGCACAAAAAAGTGCGTTTTGAGTTACCACGGACTCTTAAGCTAAGGAAATAACTAATATGTGGCGGCCATTTTCTCACTAATTTTACCTCTGAAAACAGGTGATACTCACCTCCTTCATTCGCAAATATCTCGACTTGTATTTAAGATAAATGGATACTTTTTTCATCCAAATAAAGACAACTGAACAAGCTTTAAGATGATACCAATAACTATACCTGCCCAAAAATTGACGAGAGCCTGATTCCTCCGCGCTGCCTCACATTTCCCCCCAATGCCCTTCAACTTCAACTGATTTCAAATTGAGACTAACTGTGCGCTCTATTATTTACAGTGAACCGTAATTACATCACAGTGCACAGTCTAGGGTAGTAAATATACAGACACATAAATCTATGGTCAAGTGTTATAGGAGTTCACAGTACCTGGTATATTCCTTTCTCAGTGGATACTGGAATGTTGGTAATTTGAATACAGGTTTTTTTTATTTATTATTGCAAAGAAGAACTGTTTAAATGCATATTTATATTGATGAAAAAAAAAAAAAGATAGGAGAAGTATTTTTACGTCTTGTTATGTGTTTGTACGTGCAGAGACTGATATTTACACAATACAGGACAGACAGGGTAACGTTTCAACAGACAGTGAAGATCTATTACGTATTAACCGTGTTTGTTTTTAATGGATGACCTCCAGGGAAATTTCAGAAGCACGACTTTTAGCCTTTGTCTCTAATTCTGTACTATCGTGTGTTGTGTATGGGTATTGTGCGCTCGGTATAAGGCTAATGGGCCCGTAATTATGAGATGGCGGGTTCCAGACTTCGAGGTTCAGTTCGTTGCGTCATTGGGAAAGGCGCTTTACACGAATTCCCCCCCATATTTGGCTCCGTCCTATTGGAGATAGAGATGTTAAACTCGGAGGTACCGTCTCTTAAATAACTTTACAGTATTGAGACAGACGTTAAACCTGTACGATTTCAATTTAGCACTCTATACGTCTACATCACACCCATTATCACCATCAGCACTGTCAACTGGACTTTTTATACAGCCATAAGTGATAAAGGTACAGGGTAAATGACTGTCTTCATGTATAGGTAGAGAATTTAGTTACATGTACAATAAACTCTAGCCCTGCCTTCATTCGCAACTTTCTTGCAAGTAGCCTATTACTTTACGCCCATACTACAAGTGTACAGGGTTTCCACTCTAAATGAGGCCACATTTGGATAGCCGTGACGTCATGCTCGTAAAAGCTTTCGGTTTATTCTAAGAATTGGCAGCAGTAAATTTACTTTTACCCATTTGACTATTTAAGTTCAGCTGTCATAATATGATTATCAGGCCCCCGAAAGCTTACCATTAGATCTGTCTGTCATTCTACAGTCTTGCAAGGGGTTAGTCACAACTACTAACATCACAGTCATGCATAGGGTTAGTTAAAACTACCGACAGTGATAGGTTGCAGGGATCTAATTCTGATCTTCAAGCACTCAAAGTCAAAGGACCACGGCCAAAAGTTCAGTCAAACTAGCATATTAAAAATTTGTACACATATTGCATATACATGGAATCTAATTTTAATTATTTCATTCGTATCAAACATCTATTATCCTTTTATCACCTCCTTCTTTTCTTTGTAGTTTCTCTCTAGTAACACCTCTAATCTTCGGCACGTTTAATAATATGATCTGTATGTGATGCAGGTGCCGTAAAAAATCTTTCTAAAACTAAAACTCCGGTCTTCATGAGTTTTTCCCTCTGTTACCACACCCCAACTGGAAAATAACTCTGTTCATACAAAATAGTCGAAAGTACCAGAGTACGGTAGGTTTCTGTTAATTAACACACGTTGCTGAACACAACTTGTGTCGCTTGGTGTCTGCCAGTTTCTCGAATCTCTCCCGGGAAGAGAAGGGTATAAGAACAGGCTGCAGCCTAGAGGAGAAGGGGAGGGAGTTCCCCCGTACGTCAACAGTCGTGGTGCTGGTTCCAAAGTGTGAGGGCACGGTTGCTCCATCCACTAGATCGGTGACCAAAGGACTGGTGCAACAGGAGAGGCGCCAGGAGAGACGCTTGGCATGGGTTCTTCTTGGGCACTTGGCAGGAGTTCTGGGGCGCTGGGCAGGAGTTCTGGGGCGTCTGTGGCGCTTGGCAGGGGACCTTGGGCGTCCCGGTGGGGTTCTTAAGGCGTGTAGCAGGAGTTCTAGGAATGTGTGGCAGTAGTTCTAGGAGTGTGTGTCAGGAGTTCTAGGGCGTCTGTGGTGCTTGGTGGGGGTACTTGGGCGTTCTGGTGTGTGGCAGGAGTTCTAGGAGTGTGTGGCAGGAGGTATTGGAGTGTGTGGTAGGAGTTCTGATGGGGTGTAGGAGGAGTTCTAGGGGTGTGTGGCAGGAGTTCTAGGGCATTAGGAGTGTGAGTGTAGCAGGAGTTCTCATGGTGTGTGCGGCAGGAGTTCTAGGAGCGTGTGGCAGGAGTTCTAGAGGCGTGTGTGGCAGCAAGGGTTCTGAAGCTTGTGTTATTCTTCGTATCGAGGGGATGAGCTCTTTCCGAAACTTGAGACCTGTAAAAAAGATCCATAAAAAATTGTTAAGTTCTTGTCTAATACTAATGCATGTTCAAGTGCAGTTCTCTATATATTAAGGGTGGTGTAAACTTTAGCCCCCTATTTGGAACTTGATTGACCTAGTGCGCACTATGGGGTCTCCATTCTGCGTGGGGCTACATTTGGAACCCCATGGCTTTATGAGTGATTGAGGCTTTAAAGAATGGGTAGGGGATGGTGGTCGAAACGACTTTTTCTTTCCGTTACGAAAGCCCAAAAGACACGCTAACGTATGTTCTTGAAGCTATAATAACGTATGACACGGGTGTGACTGAAAATGTTTTATACCCACAACGGCATCTTTTAGAACCATTTTTATCGAACTGATATCTTTGAGGGTTTTATCAGGAAGCAACGCAAAAAAGATGTTTGTTTTGTTTTCATAAATTTTACCGCACTTGCAGCACAATTTTTATTTTTTAAAAAAATTGTTAATAGGCCTACGTTATAAAAGTGCCAACGATAAGGGGTGTTACTACAGAGTAACATAATATAGAGAAAAGCAGCAAGAGAGATCAGGACGATAGGAGTTGGATAGGAAAGAAGGAGCAATTTAAACAACGCCAGAGCACCCGCCAACCACCTATAACGCTAATAGTAACCAGCCCAGAAACTGTGGGATAGCTAAAGGGCAAAAGAAACAACGACAAATCGTGAGCTTAGAACTACAAAGTTCTATCTGATCAGCACCTAGTTTTGAGAAATTTGACGTTGGAAAAAAAAAAAAAAAGAATTTCCCAACATGCCAAGTTTTTTTCGGATGCGATTCTTTAAATAATATCTTGATAACGACTCCGCATAATTTAACGATTTAGTAGATAGAACAGAATCTGATAGAACGTTCAGTTTCTGACTTCAAAACGGCCAACAATGTCAGGTAGAACTTTGTAATTCTAGGGTAACGAAATAAAGAGACGAGGATTAAGCTTGGACGGCCTTGAAGACCAATGAACAGCATGGGGTTAACGCCCCTATCAACACATTAAAGGTTATTAAAAAGGTGGGACCTCCAAATAATAAGCTTAGTAATAATAATCCATTTCAGATAAAACGAAGACGAGTAAGTGGGGAGCCTTTTTTTTAATATGGATGATTTACGTTCCCTTAGCCAAAGTTTAGATAATTAAGGAGGTGGGCTTCGACTTTTCTTGCCAAGGCCAGCCCGGGATGAGAAGGATACAACGTCCCAGGAGAAAGACAGAGACGGTCAATAAAATTTCTCTCCACACGGAAATCGAACTAGGATCTTTTGCGTGTGGTGATGGCAAAGCGCCTGAAAGCTTCGAAAACTCAAACTCAAAGCAATCTAAGTTCAAGAAAGCCGCATCGGGGAACTGAACCAGAATCACCTTTATGTTAATACAGACCGATATGATGCAAATTAAGACAGCAGCGCGCCTTTTCTAAATAATTACATGTACATTTCGGAAAACCGACTATGTTTTTTAGTTTAGTTTTAGTAGAGGTTTTTCGGCGCTCGCAACGGCATAAGGTCATATGAGCGCTAAGGGGTGGATGTCAACAAAGAAGTCCTTA